TCATTGCTTGAGTTTATACTTGGGTGAGCCGCGTCTCTAACCCATGCCTTGTAATATTATGTATCATTTGACTCGCACTTATATTCTTTTTATAGATACGACATGTGTCCTGCAGGGTGAAATGATAGATGGCTTGGCGGGATCGGCCGATGAGGAGGATCCAACAAACTGGCATCCCACATATTATCAAGGCCAGCACGGGGAAAAAGCACGGAGCTCCCTAGATTCGTGAAGAGCACGCTCCGAAGAGAGTGAGGCTAACTATCAGGTCCCATCCCCAAGGAGGAGAAAGAGAACGAGCAGGCAGCAGAGTAGACTAAGCAACAAACAAGGATGGTTGCTAGTTAGATCATGATGTTCTAGGTTCTGTCAAGAACAAGACCGAAGCACAACCCCGTCAACGAGTTTGCAGGCTGCAGCCCAGAATAGGGGCAGATCTCTCAGCCTTGTGACCTTTCCACCGCCACATCAGACAATAGATAGACAGAGTGCCAGACTATAGATCTAAGTCGTGAAGGGATTATGGAAGGCGAAAGAGCAAATGGATGCTCATTGGCAAACCATCGATCTAAGTCATGAACCCTAGGAAATTTATGTAACGTACCTCGAAAGTACCGCAACAAAATTTAAATTCTTTCCCAAAGAGATCTGCTGACTATGACAACATAACAAATCATAAACAAATAAAAAGTGTAAAGTAGAACTTATTGATCGTCCAATTTAGCATGCGTAGAATCCTTGACCTTTGACATTCATGTAATTTCTCCTTTCCGAAAGAAAAGTTCCATCTCCCTTAAAGAGAAAGCTAGGAAATCTCTTTTCCTTGAGAAGTTATGTCTTATACTGAATATTGAATATGATGTATAAATTATGAAAGAGGAATGTATTTTTAGTGGTTCTAAACTAGTTTCTCAATCACAATGAAAATGTTCTTCATTAATAATTTCTAGTTCTAACAGGGTCAATATTCATTAATGATTTAACTAATTAATTAAATAAAACAAATTAATAATAAGAGGAAAGTGGGCTGCACGCCACTTTCACTCATTATTATTAGTTCATCTGTTCTTTTTTAATTGCAATGATCCACTTTTCATGTTTGCCAATACACAAGTTTGATCATTAATATCTTTCATTCCTTATTAGTAAAAAAAATCAGATTTTGAAAATTTAAAAAGTAGTAAAAAATATGTCATTAGTGCAAATTACAAAAGAAAATACCAACTTTATTTAATTAAAAATACATCTTAATCAAGTATAATAAATGTAGTATAATAAAAGAGAACAAAGGTAGTATTATTAATTCCATTTTCTCTTTTATTTTTTATTCCAAATTACAAAAGAAAATACCAACTTTATTTAATTAAAAATACATCTTAATCAAGTATAATAAATCTAATTTATGTTACTTAATTAAATCTATCAAATAGCTCTCCTTCAACATCATAATTAAATATAGTCTAATCTAATTACTATTTAAGGTCTTTTTCAATATTACGAATTAAATACTACTTGATCCAATTAATTAATAATTTTTCTAACAATTCAATCGGGAGGTGTAATCACTTGTTGTGTGACCCGTGGGGTCTTAAGCACTAATCAAGTTAAGGTCTTAGTAGAATCCCTAGACGCTTTACCAGACAAACTTAATATATAAGAACACTTGTGAGGACTATACAAATTGTCTATGATACTAGACGCTTTACCAGACAAACTTAATATATAAGAACACTTGTGAGGACTATACAAATTGTCTATGATACGGTCTTTTCATTCACAACTCCGCCATGAGATCATTTTTTTTGTCTATGAAAGGTAAATTTTATCGTACACCAATTAGGTCGGCATTAATGTATGGCGTAGAGTATTGGGCGGTGAAGTAATGTCACATTCAAAAGATGAGTGTGGCAGAGATGCGTATGTTGTGTTGGATGTGTGGACATACCAGAAAAGACCGCTTGAGGAATGAGGTAATCAGACAAAAGGTGGGAGTAGCACTTATAGAAGACCGAGTGATGCACCTCTTAGACGACTTGAGGGGTGGGGAGAAGAGGCAGAGAAAAGAGGGAGGGGAAGACTCAAACAGACTTGGATTAGAGGAATAAGAACGGATATGCGTCTTCTTGGGTTGGATGAGAGTAGAGGTGCAAATGAGCCGAGCCGAGCCCGAGTTTATGTAGGCTCGAGCTCGAGCTCGAAATATATTGTATTGGCTCGAGCTCGAGCTCGGCTCGAACGAGCTTAAAAAATCTCGGCTCGAGCTCGACTCGCAAATATTGACATGGCTCGATTCGGCTCGACTCGGCTCGATAACTTTGCTTCGTCAACTCAAATGTTAGAAGTTCGATTAGCTCGAGAGTTCGGGTTTGAACTCGAGCTTAAGTATGAAACAATCTTTGAATATTTGTGCTTAGTATTTGCAAATTGAAATTTACATGCCCAACAACTAAAAGTAGAATAAAGTTGTCCAAAATAAATAAAAAATGATCAAACCATAACTAGAAAAGGCATATCACGTAAGTATATCAACATCATCATGGATATGTATGATGTTTGTACTACAAGTGTCCGCACTAGTGTAGGGAGGACCGCAGAGTTCCCTATTACTATCGGAGTGCACCAAGGATCTGCTCTGACGCCTTTTTTATTTGCTATAGTCATGGATGAACTTACGAAGTCAATTCAAGAAGATATACCGTTGTGCATGATGTTTGCCGACGATATTGTATTGATTGATGAGACACAATCCGGTGTTAAAGCAAAGTTGGAAGTATGACGACAAACATTGGAGAGCAAGGGTTTCAGACTGAGCCGAAGCAAGACTGAGTATATGGAGTGCAAGTTTGGTGGAGGTAGAAGTAGTAGCAACAGTGGGATTACTCTTGATGGTAAGGAGATACCGGTGTGTGATATGTTCCGTTACTTAAATTTCCTAGGGTTCATGACTTAGATCGATGGTTTGCGTTATTTATGTAACATACTTATCTTTCTTATATTCTTGCGTTATTGTTATCTTTTATTTATTTATCTTTATTTTATTCATTTTATCTTACTTTTTTCTCTATCCTGTCTGTCTTCTCTTTTTGGCATCGATATCATAGATCGATTCATGTTAGCCGACTCCAAATTCATTTGGGATTAAGGCTTGGATGTTGTTGGTTGTTGTTGTTGTACGGTCTTTTCATTCACGAACACTAGACTAAGTTTAGAACTTGATATAGTGTCTATTTCTAATAACTTGATCCGTCTCTCATTCTTTCCAGTTGATCCATAACGATAATATTCGAAATCCAAAATGAATAAAACTTTGTATTGGCCAATGATTTTATGATCAAAGTAGATTTGAGAAGTAGAATGTTCTCTCTAAATCTATTATGAGGAATAAATCCTTTCTAGACTCGACTACTACTTCATATGCTTCGTGATACACCCAATACATGTCATATATATCTTGATAGGAATGCAAGTGTTGGTCATGGTCAAAGCGCATCACTTAAGTACTCAACACATGAACTACGTATTAACCTCAAGTCGGAGGACTACTACACTATTCTATACATTGATACTTGCATAGACACATGAATAGAACATATCAAAAAAATATATGAATAGAACATATCAAATGATTTCTCAATTGGGTATATCAGTATTCTTCAAAATGTTTATGTGACCATCATGAATTGCTAGAATTCGTAATCGTGAGATCAACTATACTTTCTTAAAGTATGATGCAATTTACATACCAATCTTATCGCATATCATCGATATCCTATTCTCAATGATTATTGATTTGGGCTATTTTAGGATCTTATGCTATGTCACATAAGCTCTCACTTACTTAGTGATAACAAGTACAAGGAACACAAGTATGAATAATATATAGACAACCAAAGCAATTAATCATAAATATGTAATACCTTAGATCTCAATTATCATAAAACCTTAACGTGATCGAGTACATATACCTCTAAATTGTCTCTATGACATAAGGAGTATATACTACCACCTTGTTGCAGATATTATTGTGACTGCAATTTTGCACAAATGAGCCCCTATCCCCGACAAATTCAGCGTTGCAAGATACCTCTGTTGGCTGGGCAATCTACCCCACCCCACCCCCCCTAAGAGTAATATCTACTGTATTCTTTGAGTGTTTCCTGTTAAAGGTATTTTCAAGTTTAGGGTTCAGTAAATTCACAAGCCACAATATCATGGTACCAGAGAATTACATTTTAAAATAAGTGCATTTTATACATATCTTGCTCTGAACAAAAGGACATGATATATATACATGTATCTTGTCCTTTTAACATGTTGAAGGCATTTTCTGCTATGTACTCTTGATGGAGAGCAGGAGACTAAACAATTAGTTTTTCTTAGCTAAAGGCTATATGCTTAATTGTGTGCATTTGTGTGGGTGTGGTAAGGGTGGGAGAGAAGAGGTAGAAAGAGAGAGAGAGAAATTAAGAAAGAGACCAACCAATCATCAAATTGTAATCAAGTACATGTACTCACCATCAATTTTATAAGGAATTCTTGGGGACAGCTCAATACTCAAGAAAAAGGCTAATCAGGATAGGGTTTGACAGCACAACAAAAGAAAAAGGCTGATGTGTGCAACTGTAGCATGAAAGTACTAAGACAGAGTCAAATCACATTTCCATTACATGTAAGCATTGTAAGGTGCAACTTTATCCTTTGTTTAATGTGCTTCAAGCTCCATATACGAGAGAAAATGCTGACTTTGTTCTTTCTACATAATGCCTCATTTACTCATCTAGTCCATCTTTACTACGAATTACAACTTTTTATCCTCTTTCAGCTTTATATCCAATTGCTACTTTGTGCTCATATAAGACAATAAATGTCTAGAGTGGAAAACATGCAAGATTGTAAGAAGCTCAGGACGCCGTGAAATGATTATTAGGAATAAGAACATAATGCATCAACATCATACATGACTACGATACAGTGCTAATCATTCCGATTTGCAAACAAACCTGTACTAGTCCACCAAGGTTATCTCTGAGATCAAGAACAAAAGATGATGCACCCATATCACGAAGTCGCTGCATTGCTGAGTTAAATAGAATAAGAGGACAAGACAATGTGACATGGTAAATGAGGACAAGAGACTGTAACATGGTAAAGTAATCATGTCAATATAGCTAACATGGTATGCCTAATTTAAAAAGATTCAATGGGCAAGATCACAAGGAGGTCAAAACGACCAATAAATTTTCCTAGTAATAAACGAAATCTGATGGTCATTCTCCATAATATGTTCCACGATGTGCGTTAATTTTATAATACCAAAGTTCTAATAAGCTTCAAGTCTTAAAGTGCACCAAGGTAACCATGCAAATATTCCCTCCGGCCCATTCCAAGGAGTTCTTAAGGCGTGTAAAGGTTAATTCTTCCATTATAATAGAATAGATATATATTGATACTGATCATTAAAATTTACATATTGCAAAACTACGCAAGAAGTACTATTGAACCACAAAAATCATATTTGAGATTGATAAAGATTATCAAATTAGAGATTAAAAGAGAGTTAAGTTGACTGCGTGAATTGTGTGATTTGTGTCCAGAAAGGGACAAAGATAGTAGTACTTATAGGTAGGAAAAGAAATTCATCTCAACCTCAGACAAAAACATGATAGACACGCTGATGATGTAAAAGGGTATGCTTACATAGACATAGTGACACAACAAATTTTATGGATGCTTATGGCAAGCAATATTTGTAGCCATTCACAATTGCAAAAAATCTAATACTTATTAATTGGCTCTGAATAATAATATACAGAGGTTATGGAAGTCATTATTATATGATAAAGGAATTGTACCGGTAACTATATCCTTTTTGGCCAATGCATTAAACTCTTTAAGGCGCACATAACCAACAAGACTAGAACCGTGATCAATTTGCTCCATCCGATAAAAAACTGGAGTCCTAGCAATGGTCTGTCTTTCAACATCAACGGATTCCACTGGTCCACATTTGCCATGCTTGACCTGACACCATATTACGGACAATTTAGATGGAAAAAATTATCATTAGAGCAACTGCCACATTGACACAGACAAAATGATCCAAAAGGACACAAAAAATCATAAATACAACCATGAGTTTCACCAATGTTCCACCGGGACCCTGTATGAGTGATGATGCTTCAAAAGAAGATTTCCCCTTAACATCTATGCCGTTAACAGACATTAGTTCATCTCCCTAACAAACATATATAATAAGGAGCATGTTAATACTGATCACAAGATTAAAATCATAGATGAAGGGAACTGATAATTTCTATGCATAATAAAGGGAATCTAGTTGCTGTGCATAAATAATTTATTCAATGCCTTTTACTCCCCCGCTTTCTCTGCCAAAGAAGGAAATGAGGTGCAAAATTTTTTCATGTCGTTTATTTCCTCTTTTCTCAACCAACCAACTTAATATGACCACAGTGCCTCCACATTTTCCATTCTTAGCTACAGCCTATAAGCCTATATATTGGGGTAAAAGGCATTTGAGACAGACCCACCCCCACAAACAAATGTGCACATGCATGTGTGTGTGCATGGGTGCGTGTGTGTGAGGCTGTGAGCCCATGTATGCATCTTAGTGTGGTGGTGAGATAAACCACATACCTGTCTCACACCAGCACTACGTGCAGGGCCATCCAAGATGAGACCTGAGACTTTAAGTTTCACACCCTGATTGTCATCTGGAACCTCCATAAGATTTATTCCAATTCCAGTCATATCGTACCTTGCCATCTTGGAGAACTTTCAGAAATGACGAAAGCAACAAATGCCATAGAATAAGAATACTGAAATGTTTGTTAGTAAAAGCACCACCCATACTAGGGATCAAAAAATTGTTGAAACTCCATCTGTATTACAAATAACAGGAAAAACAATGGACGCAGTATGGTAGGATGGAGTGCTGAAGGCAATCAGGATACATCAATTTCGAACCATTCTAACAATTTATGAAGGCCAGATAATCAGAAAAGAAGAGTAGGATGTTATAACAGAAAAGGGGAAAAGTACCAGGATACAACAGAAACTGTCATTTAAAATTTTAAAGTGATTCTATGTTTTAATGTTCTATCAGATTAACATTTACTTATAATAGAAAAAATAGTATTACATTTCATATCAAATGAATAACAAATTGAATTCCCCCAAAAAAACAAATTGTGTTCATCATCACCTAGATAAACAGCACTATACATGGAAATATAAAATAATATACTCCCTCGGTCCCGCTAAGATTGTTCCGTCTTTCCTTTTCGGTCCTTCCCACTAAGATCGTCTCCTACCAAATTTGTTGAAATTTGTGTGGTTCTAAATCATTCTTACTTTATTCTTACTTTATCAATTTTATACCCACCACATAAACTCACTTTTCTTAATAACTGTGTCACCTCCTCATGTCCCAATGTTAGTGGGAGAGAGGTAGTATAGTGTAATTAACTAATAAGCAACCAAAACATTCAACATTGTTGAGTATCCCACATGAGTTGTTTACTAGGCTCGAGTCTAATGTATAAATATTAGGGAGGGCTCAGACTTTCATGATACTTTTGAAGTGATTACGCTCGATTATCCTGGTATTAGAGGCTAGTCTGATGGTGGTTTATGGGATGTCCTCCCCCTTGATGCCTTGGTGGTTTAGGGTAGCCATCTGGGTCTCTTTGAACCAAACAGTCCACCCCTTCAGTTGCCCAATCCAATTAGGGTTTAGGGGAGTGTTGGGCATCCCATACAAGTTGTTTACTAAGCTTCAATCTAGAATATAAACCCCCGCCTTTTGAAGATCTTTATGGGGTGAGTTAGAGCATCAAAAATACTATTAGTTAGTTGGATTATTGGAAACACATATGACATATTGATTCCCCTTTTCCTTCAGTTGTATTGTAAATTTCTACTTATTCATGTACACAGTAAGGAAAAGTATATGAGCCTCAAACCTCTACAGGTGAAAGGAAATGTGTATAAGGGTCATCCAAGCTGGTCAACATCCGCCTAATAATATCATGAGCTCTTGCTCTTGACAGAATTGGTGTACTCGTGATGTCCTCTTTCTTACTCTGGAGCAGAGAAAATAAAAGTAAAATATTAATGAATTGCACTTTCAACAGTTCTAGAATCTTATTTCCTTGTGTAGTGTTCACTTTAGGATTACATAGAGATACTTTGAGGAGGGAGGGATATATGAAGCACTGAAACACACATCTTTTGGTACATATTAAAACAAAGTTTAACCATAATAGTGAGAGCATTTTATCAAGAGATGCAGGGTTCTAGTACTACAGTATATTGCAAAGTTTCATCTCAACTACCAGGTAACACTAGGGATCAAAGGGGCATGTGGAGCGGGCGCCCCCGCTTCTGGTCCCAAAGAATTGCATTAGAAAAAATGCAATTCTTAGATGAGTCTCAGACTGGTACCCCGCAACTTTTTCAAAGAAGTGCATTATAAATTAGATGATAGACCGGTGTCGGGTGCCCCATTACTTTTTCAGTTGAATAGTATTAATTCTTAGATGAGTCCCAGACCTGGAAGTCGTAGAAGCCTCTCTCAGAAGAAACAATGTTATGTTTCAAAAGAAAATTATCACTGTTTATATTCCAATACCAACACAACAATGTTATAATCTCGGGTTTTGTTTAAAACAACCATCTAAAATAACATCGTGCTCACTACAATTTTAAATAAAGTAGAAGAATAAAAACCAGATTACGTTGAAGCAAAGTGTGTTACTGATAGAGACTCCCAAAACACAGCAGTAATTAATAGTAGATTGATGATGGTCTCAGAATTTCAGTAGCAAAAGTAGAAGGAAATAGAATGTCTCAGAGCAGTCTCCTCTCCCAAGTCCCAAACAAGCCTAACATAATTTCTCCTCCCTTTCTCCTCACAGAGTCACAGCTCACTCCTATTTATTCTTTTTCTGGTGGGCCAGCCCACTTCTATTTAGTTATAGGGCCTAAACCCCTTTTATTGTAGAATATTAAAAGACTTAATAGTATTCTTATTCTAGTATTGTTTTAGGTCTCTATCAGCTACTATGATTGTAGTAATGAACTAATCTATAGCCATTTGTAACTTCCTCCACATCATGATTTTATTAGGCGGATGTTCCTTTCTAGTCTATGATGCTTAACTAATGACAAAGTTAAATGTACATATTTATAAACTATACTAAAGTAATACTCTCTCCATCCCTTATAATTTTGTCATATTTTCTTTTTTGGAAGTCCAAAAAATATTGTCACTTCCCCTTTTAATTAATGAATTTCTTGTTCCTATTATTTGTTTCTCCTCAGCACAAATCTCAACCACACAATTTCTACTTTATTATTTCTCATGCCTATCAAACTTGGCAAAGATTTGAGGGCGGAGGAGTACTAAATAGCAAAAAGAAAATAGAGATAAGGTATAATTTGATATATGAAATCAAAGATTAAAATAGAGTGGTATATCGGCTCAAAAAGTGGACAAGAACATCATGTGGGAAGCTTACAGCATTGGATTTTAAGCTAGTACCCACAAAACATGGTGTCTGGAATGAAAGTTTGGGCACAGTCCGAGTTCTCAACTTAAACTGGGACAGTTGGTTTTTGTAGTCCGAAACATAACTGGAATTTCAATCCAAAAACAGAGCTGGTATAAGGTGGTCCATCAAGTTAGTCTATATATAGGCCAAAATCAGACAATGATGAACCGTATTCAATTTTTCCTTAAAAAAAACTCAAGATGTGATGAGACCGCACTAGGAACCGGTAGGTGTAAAAGATCCAAAACCAAAACCAGTTGATCCAGCCATCCAGCTGTTGTTTAAAACTCTCATGCTAATTATGTGGCGTTCTCAGGCTCAAAATGAACATTCTCTAAGGTATGCACATGTAGTCGAATAAATGTTGAAGTCCCACACCGGAAAATTGTGATGTAATAAAGTGTTATATTAAGATCTGGACTACTCCTATCAGATTGAACTTTAGGATGGAATACTGGGTCTTAACATGGTATGAGAGCCAAATTGAACCATAACCATGGTGTAGGCCCCTATGAAAAATGACGATGATTATAAAAAAAATGACAATGACGGACCGATTGAAACAATGAATGACGGCACGATCCAGACGAAATGTTTGGTCATGACTCGTGAGGAGGGGTGTTGAAGTCTCACACTGAAAAGTTGTGATGTAATAAAGTGCTACGTTTTAGGATAGATCCCTGCCTGGTCTTAACAATAAACAATAAATCATGACTAATTATGTGGGGTTCTCAGGCTCAAAATGAACGCTCTCTAGATATGCACATATAGTGGGATAAACAATAAATCATTTCTTCGTGAGTTCGTTTTCAGTTTCCTTTTAGGCAACTAGTTGGACAGCATTCATTTACTCTTTTATTTCAAATTACTAGATGGTGTCAAGTAAGCCTACTGGTAATTGCATTGGTATACATACTGGTAATAAATAATACGGTAGTAAATGAGAAGAAAAGCATTGCTCAATGAAGAACCTCACGAGCCAAGTTTCGGGAGACCAAGAGCGACGGCCAGTGTTGAGAAAGCTATCATTGACAATGTGCCACACGTCCGCCACAATTCCATCATTGGTCACCAAATCAGGTTCGGCAACAGACGCACTCAGATCCAGCTCATCTTCGCGGCAATTTAACTGGTCCTTGTCATTGCTCTGTACCAGAGAAATGGCGGATGACTGGTTCAAGGGAAGTTCTGAAGCAAGTGATGACGGAGAAATGAGAAGTCCTAATGAGATTGCGACGGAGACTCCAGTAGTGATGAAAGTCTTGTGGTGAGAGGCTGCAATTAGACGGAACGGTGGTGAAGAATACGAGTATAATAAAGGGGGGAAGCTGTGGTTACATAAAGACAGTGTCATCTCCGCGCTAGCTAGGTAGTTATGCTAGTTTCGCCACCAGCGTGTGACCGTGACTGATCGATCGGTCGGTCATATATGAGTTCTTTCTGGGGGCGAGTGGCTACCTTATAATTAATAGAAAAGAGAGAATTTCTAAAAAAGTTTTGAGTTGAATATCACTGAATTTCTGCTAAATTTGACATTAATACGTTTTTAAACATGATATTTTTTTTCAAACTTAACAGATTACTCCTATTCAGAGAATAATAATCATGATACTCCTATTTCAGAATTTCAAAACGTTTTTTCTCCTATTTAGAGCAATTTCTAAATTAATAATCAATAGACAATCATATATAGATATACTCCCTTCGTCTATTTGGGTTTGTCAAAATTAGTGATAAAGTTGTTAATAAATAAAGATTTTGAACTTTTGATTTAGATTTGAATATAAAATAAAGTGAAATTGGTAAAACCGGATCTATATTATTAATAGTCTTTTCAATTCCAATAAATAACTCACTACATTTTCCCAAAAATCTAATTTGAGCACATTTATCATTGAGGTGTAATTCATTTAAAATGAGTTTTTCTCTCCCTCTTTTCGGTCATGTTCTTTCTTTCATTAAACTCATTTCCTTATTCATTCACCTCCTACTTTTTTTTTACAATCATTCACCTCCTACTTTGAAATTACATTTTTTATACTCTGCATTCAAATTATAAGGTTTTATATTTTGCAAATAATTTGCCCTTGCGCATAACTCATTCAAATCATAAGTTTTTCTGACGTCATTCCACGGCAATATAGCACCGCCGCCTAGCTCCGCCGACAGCAATCTCGCACCGCCGCCTAGCTACGCCTAGTACCCATCCAAAGCTTTACCTAGCAAAATCGCCGACCGACTCTGTATTCTCCAAACCATGTTTGTGTATTGAGGATCCTTGTCACAGCTGCTATCCCACCGACCACCACCGTCGCGGCTCTGCTCATCTTCTTCTTCTCCTTTATTCTTTTCCCAAAACGTTGTCACAGTTAGGTCCAAATTTGAAGCCCTAGATCGCTCATCTTTGTCGATGGAGTTGTTCGACGTCTTCGTTGGTTTTTGGATGGGCAGATGTGGTTCTTTGGTTGGAGCAATGGATTTGTCGATTGGGGTGTGGTGTGGAGTGTGGCGGTTGTAGGAGCGGTGTCACTACTGCTTGTGACTGTCACTATAATTGTCGTTGAGTCACTATCATTGTTTAGCCGTGACAACAGTGACTGTCATGTAAAGTGAATACGATTGGTCGGATTTAGTAGTGACTACAACCACTATCATCTGAAGTAAAGACGATCAGTCGGGTTTAGCCGTGATTACGGTCACTATCATCGAAAGTGAAGAGGGTTTGAGTCATTGTGTCACTAAGTGTGATAGTCACTATACGACGTCAAGAAACGAAGTAACTGGAGAAGGTAGGGTAATGAAGTCGCTATGATGGTGATAAAGTCACTGGACCACGCTGGCAAACGGAATCACCAAAGAATGTAGGCAACAAAGTCATTGTGGCGGCGGGGTCGGCGATGGTGGTGGCGGTCATTGGGTGGCTAAAAGACATTGATTAATTATTAATTATAATCATGTCATAATAACAAATGAAATATTAAATATGGGCTAAATGATATGGTAAGTCGCGTTTTTGGAAAACTTAAAAACAAGTCATATTTTTGTCTTTTGTATATAATTTAGTAAAACTCATAGAAAACCCATTATTATGTATAAAATATTATTAAATTTCTACTAACGTAAATTTTGAAAATATTAACTTTTTATCATGTTTACTGCTACCTCCATCCCGTTCAAGGATTTCTCATTTTAAAATAACACAATTATTTAGACAATATTTAAATATGTAATTCAAGTATATTGTGAGAAATAATTCGGATGGTTATATAATATAAAGTTGATGGGGTTATGGGACTAGGCCCAATGCCGAATCGGACCAGGCCCCAAACTTGGATCAGCGGGCCCAAGCCTAGGACCATTATCTCGCCAGACAGGCCCAACCAGTGGACCCAGCAATCTGTCCCAACCGATCAAGCCCACCAAGGAGCGGAAGTCCAGCATAGCGAAAGCCCAAGACGGTCTGCCTACCGGTCTGACCAGAAGTCTGCCTCTTGGCCCAACGAGGAGTCTACCTCCAGCCTAGTGGGGAGCCTGCCTCCAACCAAGCGGGAAGCCTGGCTTCCAGCCCAACGGAAGTCTGCCGGCTATGGAGCTTGAGCGTCAGGCCTGCCAGCCAGTCTGACCCGCCATCCAGGAAGAGTAACGGCCAACAGTTAATGCGTTATTAATTATGTATTCAGTTATGTATTAATGTTGCAATTAATTAGTCATTATTGTGGTTGACAGTTACCAGTTGTATACATCTATAAAAGGCAAGTTGTAATTCAAATACAGATATGTTATTCTTGGCAACTAAAACCTCTTGAGCACTTTCCATATTCGTACTTTCTATTTTCCTACTGAGTGTTTCGTCGTAGCTTTCTTGAAAAGCCTACGAGCGTCCTATTTTGGACCAACATTGGTGCTTTCATTGAGAGCTAAACTCAAGTCTCTCACATCGCTTGAGTAGGAATCGTAAAGGAAGATGGCCGGAATCTCGTCCCGACATGACCATGTCTCAGTCCACACCGAGGAATATAACCGGTATGTCCGCCAGCGTGCCCCCGACAACCATGGACAAGGCAGGCGACCTGAGGAAAACAACGCTCAACCACACCCAAGGTGAGTTCTCGGACCGCACCCCGGCGGGGGGAGGCCGGCGTCATGCTTCGTGCATGGACCCGATTCGTCTCAATGTCGGGGTGGAAGCCCTATAGGAGGTGATTCGAATTCTGGGGGCCTTGGCTCAAGATTTCCAACAGATGGTATCTGGCGGTAACGTGGATGAGCATGCCCGTCAACAGACGCCGACAGGTGTGGAGGTGTCATCCAGGTGAAGTGAAAAGTGACGCTCTGGATCCAACCAGCACAGGAGGGAATAAGTCTCTCAGCAACTTAGACGATCCCATCGGCAGACTCGGAGGGGCGCCCAGCAGGGGAACTCAATGCAGATAGAAGGAGGCGAGTCCTCTCGCCACTCTCACCGGGCGAGCAACTGGACTGGCTCCATGTAGATGCAAACGTGGGGGCCCGACCTCACATGCATGGATGACTTTGGGGCACCACCGGACATGCCCAGCCTCGCGTTGGAGTTGTCCAGGGGAACCCACCACCAACCGAGATGGAAGATCTACGACATCACCTCGACGACTTGAGAAGAAGGGTCATCGAGGGGGAGCCTTACACGGCCGACCTCCTGATACCCGAACCTTTCATCTGGGTGCGGTGATGGATGCACTATTGTTAAGGGGCTACAAGCCTTGCACCATCGAAATGTACAAGGGCGCCTCTGACCCCCAACATCATGTATCTCGATAGCTTTCCTACATGGTGATGACAGGGTACGAGGATGCCACCCGATGTCGCGGTTTCTATGCCACCTTGGATGGGCCGGCTCGTGAATGGTATGACTCTCTGTCTGACAGGAGTATCATGAACTTTCGTGAGTTGGCTCAGCGCTTTCTCTTGAGGTTCACGAGTTTCTGAGACGTCAAGAAAAACAGCCACATGTTCGGCCTAAAACAGGGGAAGAAGGAATCATTGTCCACCTTCTTAGCGAGGTCGAGGGACGAGACAATCAAGGTTTAGGGCCTTGACAACAGGATCGGAGTGGCCATGCTCACAAACTTTATCCGGTCTGGCGAGCTTTACAAAGATTTCGTCAGAAGTCTCCCCACCTCGTACGAGGAAGTGCTCGATCGTGTCGACCATCAAGCCGAGGCAGAGGATGCCATGCAGAAGAAGAGAGATGAGGAAGAAGGCGCAAAGGAGGAGAAGAAGAATGAAGCTGGTTCGGACACCGAGAAAGCTAACAGCAAGGCCGACAACAAAAACAACAAGTACAAAGGTAATAAGAGCAAAGGAAAGGGCAAGGCGGACGTCCCGAGCGTACCGCTCCTGCCCGTCAAGCAATTGACTCCATTTGCTCAGTCGGTCAGGGCCATCCTCGACTGTGTGGAGGAGCAGTGTGATGTGGTGACCGCCAAGCGCAACCACGACCAATATTGTTGATTCCATCGGAGAGCAGGGCATGATACGGATGAATGTGTCATTCTCCGATGGCTTATTGAAGAGCTCATCTAGAAAGAGTATATGGGCCAATTTGTTGGCAAACAAGCTAGGAAACATCCCGCATAAGAGGAGCCTGATGTGGCAGCGATCCGAATAAGCTACCACATCAAAGGAGAAACATCCCGCTAAGAAGCGGGAGCTCGGTGCCCTCTCCGAGGAAGACGATGTCGACCTAGAGGACGACTCCCGGAAACGCCGTCGATGTTCTTACATATTTGGGGGACCCCAGAGGGGCGACACCTCAGGATAATGGCAGCAATAGGCACGAGCCCTGTACGTCGGGGAGATAACCAGGGCTCTCGCCGACAAGAAGGTAAAGAGGGATCCCATCTTCTCCACTGATGCAAACTTGCCTCCACCGCACAGGTATTCCTTGGTGATCAAGATCACGAGATCAACGACACCATCGTCCATCGAGTCCTGGTGGACTATGGGAGCTCAGTTAACATCATGTACTATGACACATTTCAAGGTCTCGGTCTGGACTGGAAGGACTTGATCCCGGTGAAGACCCCACTTTTAGGCTTCATTGGGTTTGCATAAGTTAGCTTCCTTTTATAGGTAATGATGTCTAACTTATGGCTGACAAAGGAGCTAAAAGGCTGAAATATATTTGTGGCCCATATTACACATTTGATTAATAACTACACAAATACAAAGATATCTAACTAGATTGGACACCATAAAATATTCCCAACAGCCAAGATCCTCCAACTGACCATACAACTTCAGCTGCATCAAATACTTGCCACTCTGGAAGGCATAGAAGACTTCGCGAGCGCGTCAATACTCCCCGTCGGGGGTCACCAGCCACCCCTGCACTAGATCGGAGCGCTCCGCTTTCACCCTCGCAGAGATGATCTTCTGGAACTGCTCGGAGGCATGGAACTCGTAGACCACCTTCTTAACCG